TAACGGGCCAATCGAACCAGGAAGTCAGCCCAATCAACTAGTATCGTTGTAAGATGGAAGAAATCCATGGCCCAAAATAAGCGTACTCCTCTAATTCAAAAGGGATGATGTAGGGTGTGTTTGGTACGAAGGAAAATACTTTTCGTTTTTTAATGTTAGGTTGATCAAAATATTTTGAAAATATTACTCTCGATAAGCAAGTTCTTTAAAAATGAAAAAATGACATTCCAAATCCATTGTCTCCACCCCCTGACACCCAATTCTTGACCATCCCACCCTCAAAACCCACTCCACATTCCTATTGTATTCTTACTAAATTACATATAAATATTCTTGAAAAATGTTTTCTTGCTTACTTACCAAACAATAAAAAAATTATAAATAAAAAATCAACTTACTTTAAGTATTTGTCTTGAAAAACGTCTTCTCTTCATACCGAACACACTAGTGATTCAAAAGACGAAGGTTAAATAATAAATTTGCCCCATACTTTGAAGTTTGAATATCGATATACCCCATTTCTATATACCAGCAATCATATTTATGCAACACTCATCTTTAGTGTGCGTCCTTTTATCTCATAGTACTCCGATAGAAATTTTTTGTCACGACCCAATCCATCGGGCCATGCTCTAACACCTAAGTAAGAGAACCCTCATATCCCAATAGTTAAAACATGCGGAAAATTAAAGAAAAACGGAGATAAATGAAATAACCGGGTTTCATAAATAAGAACTTTTGAACAATTTCGGGTTAAGACTTGTAAAATAACTAACACCCCCAAAGATCTAGTCTAAACAAGTACAAGAGCTACTAAGAGTACAAAACTATAAAGAAAAGACACAGCTCCCACCATGCGGAAGGAAAAATAGAAGCTGCTGGAGATTTATTCATCTTCACCTAATGAGACATCACCGACCCTGCATCCAGACTATGCCAAAAAGGCATAGCAAGAGTAGTATCAGTACAAAATCACACGTACTGGTAGGCATCATCGGTCAACCCGACGCCCACCACATAATATAAGAATTCAACTAGTAAGAACATGCAATAAGACCACTCGCTTCTCCACCTTTACCCTCTCTTGAATACCTCAAAATTACACTAGCACCCTTACTACTAACCTCCATCTCAGTCCACCTACTTACTAGGCTCTTGATCATAACCTAACCATTCTAACTCATAGAAGAGTCCAATTGTAACTACCAACATTCCCCTGAACGAACAATCACACATAACATACCCTTGTCTTCTCTTCATCTTACCCGATCTCTGCCACATGACACCTTTTATCAAGGCTTCTCAACTACCAACCACGAATCCCTTTCTTTCACAGAGGAAACTGCCTAAGTATTTCCATCATGTACACTACCCCCACTTCTCACTCTCGCAACACACGGACAGTCTTTCCCCTCACACATTGCCGACCCTTGAACCCTTCCTAGTTCATTCAACAAGGAGATACATAACAAGTTTACTCGACATAGTAGAACAATCAGATATATGTCATCATAATCATTTAAAGTTTTCGGAGAAATAAAGTATCAATTATTACTTATGAACAACAGAGCATTTCACAATTTTCAAGATATGCAGTTATGTCAAGTCAATGGTCCTCTCACGGAACTCAAACCTAAACTGTTAGCATACCGGAACATGGTATCTGATCCAATGTTCGTGACAACCGATCCATATATTTATGCCGGAACGTGGCAACCGATCCAATGTTATTGTGTCGAAACGCAACACCTGACCCATTCAACAAACCACAATCATAAGGTACATTCTCATAATCATACAATCAAGTCATGATTCATGGCATTCATCATTCATCTATCCTCGTTTTACAAGTAGTGTGGTCCATAGTGCAACATTCGCATACATACACATATTATAATGAAGCAAGAACAACACATACCACACAATCATGAAATCACAACCATCACAATGAAGCATTCATCAATGCATGACACCAAAAAAATAACTCGACCATCTCTAGCCCTAGTTCATCTTCTAAGGCTTCGTTCTATGAATTAAGTCATCTTCTACTCGGTGCACGAAGGTCTACGCATAAATCCTACCATTGGTTAACATTATACTACGCAGTGAGTACATGTTTATAACTACTTAATTTATAAAACCTAGCCTACCTGGGAGCCAAGCAGTTGCACGGAGTTTTTGCTTCAATTCTTGTTTTCGGACTTCGTGACGGTGATCTTGACCGAAAATCCGCAATCCATCGATCTCCTTACACTAGAAATCTCCTTCTTCTTCCTTCCCAAGCTTAGAGCAGCTTTTTGGGGGTTTCTAGGGTGGTTTACGTCTAAATTAGATATTTTAGGAAGAAGGAGAAAATAAGATTTCGCGTTACATTCTGTCTCGCCTATCCTGCTCTGGCGCCAGCTTACCCCGCGTGGCGCCGCCGCCCTAGCGGCATCTGGCCCGCCCCTGGCGGGACAGTGGCCCAGTAATTTTCCGAATTTTTACTTTTAATTAACGACGGTTCGGGTCGTTACATTTTTTAACTTTTAATTATTCAATTTTAACTTTATGAATAAAAGATAGTACAAGAAATTTTAATTTTTGAAAACAAAATAGAATTTTTTTACTTTAAGTATTCAATTTAACTTTAAGAATAAAAGATAGTACAAGAAATTTTATTTTTTGAAAACAAAATGTAAGTAAAACAGATGGGTAATTAATAACAGCAGATAGACATTCGATTATAAATTGAGTCAGTGGTCCAATTTAAATTGTATGAATGTGTGTAGTGACTTTCAATTGCTGCCTACACAGATATCAAATGTCTGGACATATTTTTGGGATAGTGAAATCTCCAAATCTCTAATATTTATAGGGACCATTACCCCAAAAATTCAGTCTTAAAAATAAAATTCTATCGTTTTAAATTATTTATCGTTTTAAAATTTAATCAATATTTAGATAAAATTATCTCATTTTATTCTTTTTGGCAATAAACTGTGAATATTACCATCTCATTTTATTCTTAATAGCTACTGTTTTTAAAAATTACAGATACATCAATTATGAGTGATATTATTAATGTTCAAATATTATTGAAGGATAAAATAGTTTTTTTTAAAAAACTCTTAATTAATGTATTATAAGGGGCATGTAAAAGAAAATGACGACTGATAATTTGAAACAGATGAAGTAGCTAGCAGCAAAATAATATATTGTACAATTTTTTTTAAAACAATTGAAAAATCATGAAACAAGCCATTAATAAAAGTATAAAGTATATAAACCTCAATCATTTTGGCGCTAATTACATCTTATTCCGAAAGTTTCCAAAATTATAATTTACCAATTTTTTCAAAACTCACGAATACATTGTTCATTTGCTCGCTACATAACAAACGATAATTAAGATTATGTATCAACAATTGCTACAACAAAAACGACTTTTAGCGGCAATAAATAAACACATTAATAAAGAGTGCTAAAGTTTTTACTGGCATTAATTTAGTGTCATTAGATCCAATGTCGCTAAAGGCTTTGGGGACATATACAAAGAGTGTTAATTGCCGCTAAAAATACATATTTTCTGGCAATTGAGCTATTGATGTTAATTAATTGTCGCTAAAGATCATTTTTTATGTAGTGAATAACATTTGTACCGGATATATTCTACACAAACAAAGTTATAATGTATCTGTATATTAAGAGAGAGAAGGAAAAAATATTTTTTTATAATTAATTCAAATAATAGAAATTTTTAGAGATTATATTATCTAAAATGGTATAATTTCATAATTTTCCTATAATAAAATTGGTAAAATGTCAAGAATGGCATTAGAACAAAAAAAAGATAAATATTAAAAGTTGATGAATTTATTCAATCTTATCATCTCATAGAGTAATTCTCTAAATTGCAACTAATTAGATCCCCAAGCAGCAACATGAAACAACTTTTAAAAGGTGAAAAAAAATCTACATCCATCAGGTCTTTTTGTTTCTTTTTCTCTTCCCAATAAAACAAAAGGAAATAAAATGAACTCATTTTATTCTAATTTCCCCTCTCTAGTCTCTTTTACTTTTTTCAACTCCTTTTCTCCTTTTTTCCACATTCATACAAAGTAAAGTCACCAAACAAACAAACCATTCCTAATCCCACAATCTCCTTCTCCTTTTGGTTCTTTTTTTTTTCTTTCCTCAGTTGCCCCTATAATAGCTAAGAGCCTAAGACCCTTTTTAGTTGTTTTTTCTATTTACATTTGAGGTTCATTATTTATATTGGAGTCCGACTAAATTTAGATTTACATCACATTAAAAAGTAAAGTGCTCTCTAATAAAGACGACTTTGTCGAACTCAAACCTAAAATTTCTAATTAAGAATGAAAAAAATGCTTACCACTCCTCCCACAATCTATGTTGGTCATTTTATTTAGTTGTTTGATGCAGCAAAAAGCTAAGCTAGTGTTACTCTCCAAATGGACCACCACACATCTACAAATAAAACGATACTCCTCTCCGAATTCACGAGATATAACTTGATTTGACACAAAATCTAAAAAAATAGATTTTTCATCAAGCATAAACTGAACATTTTCAAATTAAATTAATTTTTTTTAAAATGTATTATGCTTTTTTAAATAAACTAAAAAGAAAAGTGTCATATAATTCAATTTGTTTCACTTACTTTTCTTTTTAATTTTAATTCTCCACATGACAGGTTTAAAATTATAAAATTGAAGAACACATTAATACATATCTTTAATTTAATACCATAAAATTAAAAAAAAAATCATCATCTTTTTTTAAATTTCACATAAAATTAAAATCAAACAAATAAATTAAAACAGAAAAAAAACAGTACTAACTTGGCTTTATTAAGGTTTTTTTTTCTAAAGTATTTTTTAAACTCTTGCAGTGGGTACGTACTACTGCTTCGTTTTCATAAAAAAAAACAAAAACGTTGAGATAGATAAGTTAATTTTGTATGAAACATCAATATGAAGGTTGTATGCGCAGCTAAATTAAGTGTTGTCATCAATAATAGTAGTAATAATCTTTCGACGTTTCGTCAAGTTGTCTTCCCTGCCCCTGTTGCTGCTAATTGCATTAACTGAAGTATCTTCTTCAATTGGCTCGTTATCTGAACTCCAACTCATCTGCACGTCAAGCACGTTGACTGGTGTGCTTGTGCTTGATACCATTTCTAATATTGATTCGTATTCTTTTTTCGCTATTTCTTGCATTACATCATAGCAACTTAACAAATCATCCTGTATATGAAAAAAAAAATCAATTTTAAGTTGGTTTTGGAATGATTTATTGCATTTATAGATGATGTGATGGAACGATAATTTTTAAAAAAATCATTTTATAATAGTGTTTTAGTGCATAAAAACTTTAACTCTATGATTGTTGGAGTTTTAGTTATGGTGCACTAGGTAAAATAAAAATACACTATGAAAGTTGATTACGTATAACTTTCTAAAGTAAACATAGATCGATAACCTAAAATTAGAGAAATGATAAAATGCAACTTATAATCCGATAAAAATATACTCCCTCCGTTTCAAAAAGAATGACTTCCTTTTCTTTTTAGTTTGTTACAAGAATGACCTCTTTCTTTTTTTGATAACATTTTAATTTCAGCTTTCCACGTGACATATTTAAGGCCACAAGATTAAAGGGCAATTTTGTACATTTGACATAACTTTAATTTATGATCACAAGATTTAAAAGTCTTCTTTATTTTCTTAAATTCCGTGTAAAGTCAAACTAGGTCATTTTTTGTAAAACGGAAGGAGTACTAAATAGTATTTTCAAGTGTAGTTGCATTTTATAGTTACAATCGAAATAATAATAATTCAGTTAATTGGTTATGTGGATTTTCACCTTCTTAATGAGAGTTTAATTCTTAATCTCGTAATTTCATTTTAAAACTGCCAGCTTGTCTAAAACTATACTAGGTGAGACATTACAGGTAGGAGCATTAACATTAATGTAATTTGTTCTTATTATTGTTGTTACGATAAATTATTGAATAGTATTATTTGGTTAGTCCAACTAAAACTCTTTTGTCCGTACTAGCTAATATAAATTATAAGTAAAATCTTTAATTTGACCCATAAAGTGTGGAAAGCTCTGCCGCTGGATTTTTCACGTACAAATCACTGGCGTTAATTTTGATTAATATTTTAAGATATGAAGAAAATTATACGTAAATTATAGTGCTCCCTCTGTTTAAGAAAGAATGACACAATTTTCTTTTTAGTCTGTTTAAAAAATAAATGACTTTTTTTCCTTTTTGGCAACACTTTAAAAAATATTCTTTTTTTTTCTTGAACTCCATTCCAAGTCAAATTAGGTCATCCTTTTTTCAAATGGAGAAAGTACTCCCTCTGTCCCATTTTATGTGAGGTACTCTAATTCGACACGAAGTTTAAGAAAGTAAAAAAGACTTTTAAAACTTATGGTTCAAAACGAATGATAGAAATTTGTATGACCGTAAATCATTTCATTAAGGATAAAATAGACATTTTATAGTTAAATTATTATTTAATATAAAATAAAATATCTTTTTTTTTTTGGACTTACAAAAAAAATAAAATTAATCACATAAACTGAGATACAAGAAATACTATTTTTCGTATACTTTTAACTTACTCCAATTCAACTCTACATATCAGTTCATCTTGAGAAGCGAGACATTATGACAACTAGTATAGGACGAAGTAACAATAAATAAGCATTCATAACATTCATTATCAGTCAACTTATAATTATCATGTACTATGCTTTAGTATTTATTTTAGGTGAAAAATATCATGAACATTATTGTCTTTTCCTCTTTCTTTCTTTTTTTTCTGAAAAGAACAAAATGCATGGAACCAATGTGCTTAATAAAATAGAAAACAAAAATTGAGAAAGAATATGAGTTTACCTTTTGTACATATGAACAGTTTAAGATTGTTGTTTTATAGCATGAGAATTGTAAAGGGAAAAGCTCATGAGAAGCAGATAGAAGAGCTGAAGCTGAGATTATTGATGGCTTGAACTGCAAAATCTTGATCTCTAAAATGAAAAAATAAAACAAAATATAATTAAAACTTTTAAATCGATAATAATTTTTTTATAAAAATAATTATCACATTTGACTTACCATTTTGACTTGTGAATAAAATCTCAGTAGCTCTAGCTTTGAGAGCTTGTTGTAAGGGTAGATCTTTGAATTTAAACAACGATACGAAGAAATTAATAAAAGCAAATGCAGTAATTGAACGCATTCTCCATTTTAGGCCTCCAAGAATCAAAAGCTCCATTCGCTTTATCGTCTCGATATCAAATATCGTACCACCATCTTGCTGTACAAGGAAAAAAAATGGTTACAATAAGAGTCTATACATAAATACAAATATGGACAGTTTACACTCAGCATTATTCGAAAAATGCACCTGAATGTCAGTAACAGAGTACTCTGTTTTCTTCATTTTAAATGCTAACGAAACACAAGAAACTGCAATTAGCTTCAAGATCCACGGCTTCACATCCTACATTAACAAAAAATAAATCATAATCATTTTTTTCTCCGTAACGTTACTTATTAAAAGTTGAATGAAATTAATTATACCGGTAGCGAATGGAAGGATAGGAATCGATCGAGATAATTAATCGCAAGATATGAAAGAAAAGGACTATCAAAGGGTTGAGAAATATGTAAGATTATAGAAATGGTTGATTCACGAATGTTGATGAGAAAATCCGAGTTTATGAGAATTTGAAGGTAAGTTTTTGAAGGCATATGATGAGTTTCAATGTTGAAAAGAGGTGAAATTGTGTCTTCATCATGGCTAAATGGCAATGGATTTTCAAGGTCAAAGTCCATATTGAAGTTTTTTTTTTTTTGGTTTAGAGAGTGAGGAGGAATGGTTATAAAGAGAGGAAATAAATTATAAAAGGCTTTATGGGGGGGTGAGGGAGAGAAGAGGAGTTAATGATAAGAAGAAAAAGGTGAGAGTTGTGTCTTATTTTTTGAAACGAAACCGTAACGAGACTTCAACTTCACTCACTAGTTTTTGTTTTTTTCTTTTCTTTTGTTATATTTATATACTTGGTTCATTTTTATTCGTCGCGTTTCGCCGTTAAAAAAGATATTAGTTTCATCTCCGAACTATCAACAATCTTAAATACACTTCTCTATTTGACTAATTAAACTTAGATACATATTCGATCTATCATATAACATAGCAAGTGGTTTAAAACTCTTGTAAGAATATGAGGTTTTAATTTAAAAAATCGAGAAAAGTGTTGAAAACACTCTGGCGAGAATTTAGGAGTATATTTTACTCATGTTGCAAGATCAGAGGTGTGTTTAGGTTCAGCTAATCATGTTATGAAGTGTTTTTAAGACTATCAATAGTTCGGAGATGAAACTAATAATTTATGTCGAGGTTAAGGATGACTTCAATACTTCTCTCTATATTATTATTAATTACCCTGTTCATTTTTACTTATTATGTTTCACTTTTGGGAGAGTCAATCTGACTAATTTTTTAAACTGAATTGAACTAAATCAATTCAATATTTTAAAACTTGGATATTTGAAACCTATATGAGAAATACTATAAGTTGCAACTTGCAATATTCTTTCTTATTTTTATATGACGAAAAAATATATCTTAAAATATAAATCAAAATTTATGATGTTTGACTCTCGAGAAGTGAAACGTGACAAATAAAAATAAATCGAGGATTACTACTTCGATCCCAGTTTAACTATCGTTTTATCTTGGAAAATTGTTCAAGAATAATTATCATTTTAAGGATTTAAGATTAATAGAGAATGCATTGCATTTAAAAGGAAATAATAATCAATCTATAGTTATTAAATAAGATAATGTAATAAATTATATATTTTATTTATTGTTTTGTAATGGACACTAAAGTGATATTTATATGGGACGGAGAGTGTATATATATATATATATATATATATATATATATGGGATGGGAAAAATGAAAAATGAAAGAATAGAATTATAAAATGGATAATCCATCATTTATCAATAAAATAAAAATTTAGATAACAAATCAACTGAGCTAATAAAATTTCGATTATTTATAATTTGGGTCTCACTATGGGAAGGAAAATTAGTAGATACACTGGAGAGAATCAGAGAGGCTTAGAAGGCTCCAGTCTCTGCAAAATGCTTCTAACTATGTCAGCATCAACATTTCTCTGCTCAAAACCAAAAAGAATTCATTAATATCTCTTTCACTTCTTTACTACAGTAAAAAAAATGTCCACAATTTATTTATTTAAAAAAAAAAGAATAAAAAATAAAATAAATCGTGTTAGCATTAATTCTTTTTATCTTTTCCTTTAAATTTGTAGAAAAACAATATTGTTACATGCCTATGTGTCTATGAATTTATGAATCAAAATTATTCACAAGAAATTCAAATTCATAGATTAATTTTGATTCTTTGTTACAAATTTGTATTTGAGAGGGATGAAACAAATTTTGTCAAGATTATCAACAACCAACCTCATTGTTCATTGGAATAGGTAAACCATTTTCAAGTTCTATCACTACAACGTTTGACTTTACACTAATTTTTTAAATATTTTTTTTAAAACTTGTGATTTAAAATGTGTCATAAATATTTCCGTAATTATAAATTGTAATAAATTAATTTTTTTCCTATCAAATTTAGCAAACAAAATTTGTTATGAGGGATAGAAATAAATAGTGATGGGATAAAGTTTTCGTATCTTGTATGGTTGTCATGTTTGGGATAATTTATCCCACCATTTATATCATAGTGATGGGATAAGTTATCCCATGATAGCTAATCCCGAAATAACTAAACATGGATAAATTGTTCCCAACCAAACGACCCCTTTAAGTGCTCTAAAGATTAAATTTGTCATTTTTCTGAAAGTAATGTCGCTTAAAATTGAACAGATGGAGTAATATGAGTGGTGATATCAAACCATTCTACTGACATTGTGATGATAATATATAAATTTTGAAAATGCCCGTGCCAAAAGTAGTGAGAAGACAGACTGATTTACATATTTATAACGATAATAACATATTCAACGTAAAATATCATAAGTAAGATTTGAGGTAGAAAATCTCGCAAGTAAAATTTTTGTAAAGTAAAATATACAGACTGTACTTTTATTTTATGAAGATAAAAAATTTGTTTTCGAAAGACCTCTACAATAATTATTTATCTATACAAATCAATAAATGTCTCTTTCCATATCCCCATAAAAGAGACAATAATAATCAAAGGTGAGGTTCATACCTTACCTAAGAAAATAAAATCATTGGGCATATTCAAAGACAAAGACAAGTTTGAAATCTGCCTCTTTAGCATAACACCATACAACTGCTCCAAAAGAAAAAAATAATAAAATAACCACTGTCACCATTCTTCCAAATGAAAAACTCCAAAAAAGATACTATACTATAGTACATATTATTAAAATGTAATTATTTATTTTGCCCAAAGACTTTGCAGAGTGACAGCTTGGTTTCATGCCATTGAATGTGTGTACATCTCCCATACAACTAGAAAAAAATTATCAATGAGACAAAACATTAGCAAATTCTATGCAGTACTCTTTAGAGTTATTACACTATTTGTTTAATGTCTACTTAATTTAGTTTATTTATTTAAGTTTTAACTTTTTCTCTCACGGGGCTTAGTGGAAACAGAAGTCAATGTGGGAAATACCTTGAGTTTGAATAAAGTCATAGTACTCCTTTCGTTTTATATTACACGATCCTTATTGATCTGACATATTTTATTTAAGTTTTAACTTTTTCTCTCACGGGGCTTAGTGGAAACAAAAGTCAATGTGAGAAATACCTTGAGTTTGAATCAAGTCATAGTACTCCTTTCGTTTTATATTACACGATCCTTATTGATCTGACATATTTTATTTAAGTTTTAACTTTTTCTCTCACGGGGCTTAGTGGAAACAGAAGTCAATGTGGGAAATACCTTGAGTTTGAATCAAGTCATAGTACTCCTTTCGTTTTATATTACACGATCCTTATTGATCTGACATATTTCTTAAGAAATGTATATTTTACTAATTTATGTTTTTATTTAATGCAAAGGTTAGCATAGAAAAAAAATATTTTTAAATTTGCTTATGAACAAGTAAATAAAACGCTGAACGTAATTTCTTTTCTTTCAACATAAGCCTTATAATATGCTTGACTCTAATTTTAAAAGTAGATTTTTCATTTTATCTATCCACTATAACACATGAAGAGAAATTTATAATTTTGTCTCAATATTAGTGTTTGCAACAAATTTTAAAGTGACAGAAAATAACTTACAATCACAAAAAAAAATGAAAAAACATAATTTTATTCATCAAGATTGCGGGTACAATTATGTTGATCCCTTGATTCTTCTCTCATGAGATATTTATCCATAATTCGAGGGTCGTTTGTGGCGTATTTCTCAAACTAGGATGATTTGGACTTGATCTATATAATTTGAGGGTCGTTAGTGACATATTTCTCAAACTAGGATGATTTGGACTTGATATTCATAATTCAAGGGCCGTTAGTGGCGTATTTCTCGAATTAAGATGATTTGGATTTGATCGTTTATGAATATTTCATGAATTTGTGGAATATTTGAGATATTCGAGATGCCTTTTCAAGGAAATATAGTACCATTTATATAGGTATGAACTATGGTTTAGGGTCGAGTAGCCTCCAAAAATTCTATTTGGAATTGAACAAACCTTGTAGAGTCTCAACTCAAATTAAACACGTCTAGTAGAGTCTTACGAAATTTCAATGTATACAATTACTCTTATCATTAAATAACTAAATAAAGTATACCAGTTAATTTAAATAGTTTAAAGCATAATTAATGAAATCAACTCAATTAAAATGAAAAGGAGGACGAACAATTTTTCTTGATTTATTCCTCAGACTTTATCCAATTTTTACTTGTTGTTATGTAATTTATAAAAACTGTCTTAGTGTTACAACAACTCACAGTATCTTAGGAGCTTGATTAAGGTAAAAAATAATCAAATAATAACCTAGTGTCCTTAATTTATTAATTATCAAGATACTATAGTGTAAACTCTCTAGATATGAGTACCTATATATTGTTTGATAAAATAATTAAATAATAAAAATGTGTTATCTCTAATTACTTAAACTTTTAGATGAGATGGACATACACACGATGTATGAAATCTATTTTTTCTATATTTATTAAGTAAGCCATTTTCTTATTTTTAAAGATATTTATCATCCAAAAATTTTGCCCAACAACAAAAATATACTTATGTATTACCTACTGGAACCAATTTCAGAAGCTGTTCCAGCAATTGTCCAAGGGATATAATTATGTACTTGCAAATTTATTTTAATTTTGACAGCTATTGTGCCCACAATATTAATGGTAATTCCTTATTTATGAAAATCTTTTTGCACACACATTGGTGTGTCTATTAATCAAATTAATGCCACAATTGACCAAGACTATCATTTGTGTAAAAATGAACTATATATCTTATTTCGTTAACTTATCCTGTTTCCCAATGACAATTATTTCATATTATTTGATCTATATTGATCTGACATATTGTTATAAATTTTTTATTTTAAAATATATTTTAATAAATTAACTTTACTAATTATGCTTTTAAATTTTAAATCTGATCTTTACTATATTACATAATTATTTAATGATTAAATTGAATAGCACATCGGTCCAATTTTAAATGGACTGAATTAAGAGGATTAAAATAGACTAAATAAGTGAGTTACTGCTCAAACCTGAACAGTTTAAGCGGATCATGATTTTATGGACTGATTTTTTCATCTGTATCTA